CGTACTGTCGCACACCTCGCTCGTATGCTTTAGTCCATGTACTTCAAGGTATTACTATAAGAGTTGTATAGGTGTCCCTATAGGAATTTTGGTAGAGTTCTGTATAGTATTTTCTCACCTGCCTACTTCGTATTACTATAGTTTTTTCTGTAGTGCCATTTTATTAGCTACTAGCTACGCCCTATACATAGTTTCAATAGTAATACCTATGTATCTAGAATCTTTGTAGTATTCCTATATTATTTTAAATAGTATAACTATAATATATAGTGTTTCATAGTTGTTTTTTAAACACACTATAGAACACTCCTAGTAATATCATGATATTGTCATAGTGAATGCATATTATTACTATAGTGTTTGTAAAAGTACTACTATAGGTTTTTTTTTGGTGTTTCCGTATTAAGACTATATTATTTAAAATAGTACTACTATAGTATAATATATAGTGTTTCTGTAGTTGTTTTTTGAACACACTATAGAACACTCCTATAGTAATAGTATGATATTGTCATAATGAATGCATATTATTACTATAGTGTTTGTAAAAGCATTACACTCCTAGAATTAATGTGTCATTTTTTTATATCAAATTAATTGATAGTTCAGGCATTTATCAAACCTGGCAACTCTGGGCTTCCTGGCAGCTGTCAATCAAAGTCCAGTGGCTCCGCCCCAAAGTGTGAGAAACTTTTCACGCGCGCGCAGACAGACTCCGCGAGCGAGTGAGTCTGACACTCCCGCGAGCGAGCAAGAGGGCTGTCTGCGCGCGAGGGTCATTTCATGTAAAGCACATTTTCCGCTCGTGAGTAGCTTGTTTTGCGCGCTAGAATATTGACCCAAATCTGACTCCATAGCTTGTACCATTCACAGGTTGTATTTTGACATATTTTGTGTTGCAGAAAGAAACGAGAACATCTCTTCAGCTTCTATTAACCAAAGACTATGGTTATACGCCACATTTCATGCTCCTACTGAAAAACAAGTTTAAAATAATGCTAACTTAGAGATGAGGATCCGGAAATTGCAAAATGCTAACTTATTACCGGGTTTTAGGATTCGTTCCTGTATGACTCTACAGACACAACATTGATGTGTCACCCTGCCTATAGTCTTCATGCTAAGCTAGGCTAATGAGCTACTATGTTAAGCTCAAAATTGTATGCACAGGCTAACGAAATAGATGATGTGTCTCACCTCAGTCTTTCTGAGTAGCCTACGTTACAAACAATAGCAAATACTGTACATAACATGAACACGAGTCAGTTTTACATAAAGACACTTTATTAGCTTACACATACATCTCTGGTTATAATAATTAGTTATATAATACAAGAAGTCAAAAATAATAACTGTAGTTATATATTTATAAAACTAAGCAGATATACTCTTGACTTTTAGAAACATAAAGGTCTTTGATAATATATATTTAGTACTTGTTTCATCTCTCACCAAATCTAGAAAAAAAGAAAGGGTGAAGAGGTTATACAATATGGATTCAGGATGAATGTATATGTGTTTCAGTCTGTATGTGTGTTGTGAGCCACTGTGTCTGCACCTAGTCAAATGTAAAATGTTCCACACTTCCACGAATCATGTTTAATGGAGACAACAGACCTTGATCATTTCATCTGGTACTGACAAAACTGAAAAAACTTTTCTCTAGATAAAGTAAACATTCTGGAATAAATCAGCTCATATTTTCTGGCGAGGAAAGACATCAGCTAATTTTAATCCTGTTAATGCTAAACTTCCTGTCAAGAGATGTGGAGGATCACCAATGGATGATTTAAAGTATGTTTTTCTGTTTTGCTAATCACAAAGTTTTTTTGTTGGATCCTGTACTGAAAATCTCCACTAACCCATCCCCAGTAAATCTGTTTTTTAAAGATGTCATAGACTCAAAAGATGCTTCTAAAGCTTAGAAACTTCAAGAAAAAATATTTCTTGAGAATTAGACCCAAATAGTTATCTTTGTATTAGTAAACTGTTACTTATTTCACTGACAATAATGGCAACTGTTTTCAGCTAAATATTTTAATAGAAAACTGCTACGACATGTACTGGTTAAATAAGACTTAGGAAGGTCTTCAAAAACAAGAATGTATTATATCTGACTCGTAATGCTTCTGCAAGATTGAATGCAGTAATGCAGTACAAAAACAGATCTGTAATTTAATTAATAAGTAAAAATAAGTGCAATTTATACCCATTTGTGCTAAAAAAGATTAGATATTTTTCTCAAATTAATCAGGAAATGTTTAGTTTACCTAGATATGTTATCAGAAATGGACTGTACATTTATTCTTCATAGATAACGAAACCAAAACATAGTGTTGTTGTATATATGTCTTCTGGCTTCTATACTATCTCCTTAACATGCTCTGATAAAATATTGCAAAAGGCATGTTGTCTGTATTTGAATACCTGGAAGTGTGGAAAGTGACAAGCACACACACAGCACTGTATACTGCATATGACTGAACACTGACACAAGGTTTAGGGTACTCTAACACTGTCAGTATAGGAACAGACCTTGACACAAAAGCATGAAGAATGAAAGCAGATATATAGTAAAACATTTCTCCTTCCATAAACAACATTACAATTCCTCCACACATCCCTCCAGTATATGTCTTCTCTCTGTAACCCCTAAAGTTACAGCACCCTGGGTAAATGCCTTATAAATACACAGGAAGTGAACTTCACCTAGAAGCTAAGGATACTTCAAAATATGACAACAAAATGTATTTACTTCAAATGGAGGTAAATTCCGTTAATGCTGGTTACTGTATTGTACATTGTGTTATGTTTGCGAATTATACTGTAAGCCTGAAATCTTTCAAGTATATAATTTGTGTGAATTGCGATCTCTCTTTAAGTTTTGTATGTTTAGCCATCATTTCTAATAACACTCTTCTCACCAATATTAGGGCTGCAATTAAATTCATTATTGTTTATTCTGCCTAAAATGACTAACT